AGAGCGTCTTATGGATGAGGCTGACAAATGGCTTCAACGTCTCGAAGGAACACTCATCGACTGCGACAACGAGTTTTTTCGTCGTACGCAAAAGGAGGCCGATGCACACCTGAAGTTTCTGTCAACGTCGGGTAAAGGACCTCTGACGCCACCATTTGAAGCCTATAGTTTGCTCGACAAGACAGGAGAGTGGACCAGCGATCTGATGATTAAGGGTCTCAGTCGGGAGTGCACATGCATCGAGGCCTATCTGAGGAGAGGTTCAACCAGTCCTCTACTAATTTTTGGAATGCCCGGAACTGGAAAGTCAAGTCTTTTACGTTACGCCTTGCGCAAGTTCCAAGTATGTTGAACTATTATACTAGTCCTAGGTTCTTTAATTTCGCCAAAAATATGTGTAAACTTGTATAAACTCGGTACGAGACTCCTCGGGTTCGGTTCAAAGATTAGCATGACATTTAGGCCGAACTCCACTAGCTTTAAGGGAATGACTGCGTTATCCTCACAATCTACCGATGAACAGTCAACAGTATACAAAAAGTACACAGATAATGATTGATGTTGTGCTCCGCACAAACAGCGTTTAAAGTGTGGGTGCGTATGACGCAGTTATGAGGAACTTAAGTTGTCAGAGTTCCCAAGACAATGTCTGGTACTTCACTTTTTAATGTTCAGCCGTTTAATTTATTTAGATATTAATAGGGGAATTTATTCCATATCATTACGGGAGATAACAAGTATCTGAGCCAAATTCCATTGGCTTAAACTGAATAATCACCTAATTTTAAAAGTACACAACCTGCAGATTGCTTAGCAGTACTCACAACATGGATGAGCGCTAAAAGTAGAGGAGTATTCTGCCGAATTGTTGCAGCCGCATGAGATGGGGGATATGCGCTTACGTGACATGCTTGTATACCTGATTTCATAAGGCCTATGGCGTACTGATGATCGGTGATGATTTTGTCTGCTGTCTGCGTCTGGTCTGTTGCACTCTTAATGAACTGCCTACGTCTATGTGTGGTATGTGTCCTACGGCACAACGTCGTTGTCGCCAGTAGCAAGCTGGCGGGCAGACAGAATGGGATCGAACAAGACCTTAATCAGGTCAATGAGGGTGACGCGCCCACCTGACATGTTTATATACCTCAGTTCACAAGGCTTATGACGTACTAATGATCGGTAACGACCGTGGAACAGCTGTCTGCGTCTGGCCTGTTGCACCCTTAATCATCTGCCTACGTAATCGTCTAATAGTAGAAGTACACAACCTGCAGATTTATTAGCAATACTCACAACACAGATAATGGTTAAAAGCATACAGGTATTTTACCGCATTTTTGCAGCCGCATGAGGCAATTGGGAAAGGCTTGACTGAGGCCTGAATGGTTCACATTTCCCCATATGGTTTCTCGTACACAGACACTTCAGACTTCAATTCTCGTGATTTAAGTGGCATTTGTGGCTAACATGCGAGCCGGAGGTGACAGATCGATGTCACCCCGACGATGTCCACCACGTGCTCACAACGAGTTGAGAGCAGGTACGGTGACCTGTGCGTGAATTAGATTATAGTAACAGAGGACTTGCGCAGCGACCACAGCACTCTCTCCTCCCCATCTGAGCCCGGTGTCAAGACATAGTAAAGAAAACCGAATGTGGGAGAGAGCGCAGGTGGCTGGCACGACCGGACCCGCACCTAGGCGTACCATCACACCCCCCTGGTCTACAACAAACACATCACCAGGATTTTATACGCTAAGAAAAGAAAAGAGGTATTGCTCGGAACCTAAATTGACGCGAGGAGGGTCTGAGGACTGACCTGCAGCAAAAACCCAGTTTCACAGTACACAATGACCAGGGTTTGGACTACAAAAAAACAAATGCGACGACTGCCACGGCCGCGGCCGCCCTTAGGCGTGTCACCATACCCGGTTCCGATTCCAGAGAGTGGAAGTGTCATAGGAGGCACACTATGAAGGAACCCTTGCAGCCTGACAATCGGATCACCAGTCCGCTACTCCAAGTTATTCGTCAGTTGTTAGCCTTTCAAGCCAGCTCAGAAAGAGAAGGATGAAACAAGTCACTCGGCAACCATGCACAGGGCCTGTATACCCAGCGAGAACACAAAAACATCCATCGGCAGGGAACTGCCAATAAACGCTAGGCTGCGAGAGCCATGTTTTGCTGGAGCGTGGCATAACATAAGCATACAATCCTTAAAGCCCATAAGGGTGAGACGAAGTCCCGCATGCAGCCTAAGTCATCAACATTTAAAGGCCAGGCAACCATTTAGTCATCAACTGAGAAGCACTACACATATACAAACACACACACACACACACACACACACACACGCACTCCTCGCATGAGTGAGAAGGCCAGAGCTCACGAAAGGAAGGAACCCTTGTAGCCTGACCCTCAGCCCACCAATCTGTCACTCCAAACACACAGTAGTTCGATCGTCGCATCCAACGATGTCCACCGTCAGCTACACAGCAAGGTGCAGCAGGCACGGTGACTTTCACGTAATTTAATTTATGGTGAATGTAGACTTGCGCAGTACCTACCGCACTCTCCCCTCCCCCACCTGGACCCCGTGTCAGGACATCGTCAAGAAGATCGGAGGCGGGGGAGGGCGCAAATGGATGGCACGGTCGAGTCTGCACTCTGGCGTTCCACTCCACGCCGCCTGGTCCATACAGCAGATGACCAGGTTTTTAACCAACAACAAAAGGGCGGCTGGCAAAACCGAAGACGCACCTAGGCGTGCCGTCACACCTTGCTCGGATACCGCGAAATGGGATTGCCATAAAGGCCATATTAAAAAGGAACATTTGCAGCCTGACTTTTGGACCACCAGTCGGCCGTTCCACACAAACACACAACAATGGGCCGACTGCGAGGTCCAAGATATCCCATCAGTTGCCAACCTTCCAAGCCACGGTTTTTTGCTCAACGTGATAGCTTCAAGCGCATCAGATTGTTTACAGTGAGGAAAATGCGCTGTGTCGACGACCTCACTCTCCCTTCCCATTCCTGTGCCTCAGCTACTGTCTCAGCCGGTCAGTTGACAGGTGCGGGGAATGGGTGCGGTGGCTGAAATATGTAGTTACCTTGTCTGAGCGCGCCACATGCACAACCTGCTCCCCCCCCCTCCCAAACACAAGCGCCAGGATTTCACACAACGGGGGTCGAACGGCGTACATCTCACTTGCGTGGGAGTGTCATAGTTCACGCTGGTGTGAGCCGTTTCAGCCTGGCACTCAGTCCATCCGTCTGCCACTTCACACATATACCCACACAACTGGGCAGATTACGATGAATGCGTTGGGGAGTTAGGCAGCAGTGCATTGAGGACAGTTGAGATGGATGCGTTTGGTGTATGTTGGTGCTCCAGGCACTGGTCCGTCAGTTTCTGTGCGATGGATTCGCAAACGACCGACCAGACCCGTGTGTGAGGTAAAAGTGCGATCGCAATGAGGACGAGTATGGATCGAATCCACATCGCTGGCGTTGACGGTGGGGACGTTGATATTTGTTGGAGTGTCAGGATAGTGGGCAGTGGTAGTGGGCACGGGTGCCGACTTAGAGGGTGTTGAGGCAGTGGAGGAAGAGGAGGAGGATGGTGGTGGGGGTGAAGGAGTTCAGTAAGTGTTGACTGTCGGCGTGAGGGCGAGATAGGCTGGACGGGAGGACATCGGGTGACGTAGTCCGGCTGGTGCGTTTAGTGTGAGGATGCCACATAGGGCCGATTGGTGCCCGCAACGACCGTTGACATCGTGGGCATGTTGGGGGCGGTTGAGTATCGTCGTTGAAATGTTGACGCAGATGGGTTTTCAATCTTCGCGTTTGGCCTTAGCGGGGGTGATACAGGTGGCTACTTAGATTGCTGCACCGGTCTCCACTGCTCTCCATCACGTCGGCAGGTTCCAGGAGAGGTCTGCCCGGTTGGCCGGGTTAATCTGCAGACGCTTCGAGGAGGTCCTCCGAGTATCCTTGTAGCACCGGACTTGACCTCATTATTGGCGGGACTCTTTGGAGACACCTCCATAAAAGGGTCCTTTGGGTTGTCGCTCGTCCTCCACGCGCACGAGATGGTGACTACAGCGCAGTTGCAGATGTCTCAGCGTGGCGTAGATGCTGAGGACTCCAGTTCGATCCAGTACTACCGTATTCGTGGTCCGGTCCTGCCACTCCAGGTTCAATATCCGTCGGAGACAGTTTAGGTGGACGTGGTCGAGATTTTGTTCTTGCTTCTTGTACACCGTCCAGGTCTCTGCTCCATACAGCGGCGTCGGCAGGATGATCGCCTTGTACATCTTCAGTTTCGTGCTGATGAGGAGGCCGTGTCGACAACAGACGGTGTTCTGCAGGCGACCGCAGGCTTGAAATCTGACAGTCCACTTTGTTGTGGATTTTCGTGCTGCGAGAGAGAAGGTGCTGCACAGTTAGCTGGAGGTGTCCATGACTTGCAGTTGGGCGTCGTTCACATTGATGTGAGGTGCGTTGAAGGCGGCGTTGGGTGGCAGCTGGTGCATGACCACTGATTTCGCCGTGTTGATGATCGGGCCGAAGTTGTCACAGGTGGTGGCGAAGAGGTCCATATTCCTTTACACGTCCACTTATGTGACAGGGAAAGCGTCGACGAAGAGGAGTTTGTGGACGGTAGTTGTGCATACTCGCGACAGGAAGTGCATCCACCGACGTTTGAAGAGTTCGCCCCCAATCCTGTAAGCGACGTGGATCCCGCTGCATTCGTCACGACAGGCTTAATTAGCATGATAGAGAACATAAAAGTGAAGAGGGTGGGTGCAGGACGCAGACCTGCTTCATTTCCTTGGCCACTGTGAATGCCTCTGAGACAGTTCTATTGTCCGTGACTCGCGCCATCATGCTATCATGGAGCTGGCACACCATCTGACTGGATCGTCCGGGATAGCCGAATTTCTGCATGATTCCCCTCAATCGTCCACGGTCCATCCTGGCAAAGGCTTTCCTTAGCCCCGCGAGGCAGAGCAGAGGTGGATGTGTACCTCATGGCACTTCTCCTGAAGCTGGCGCGCAGCGAAGATCATGTCGGTGATTTCACGATGACGGCGGAAACTGCGCTGGCTTTCCGACAAGAGATCCTGTTGCAGATGTTTGTTGAGACAGTTGATGGGGATGCGAGCGAAAATCTTTCCGCCGATGGTGAGCAGCGGGATTGCTCTGTGGTTGCTGCGGATTTGGCGGTCCCAATTCCGCCTGCAGAGGTAGATGACTTTGAGGTTCTCGAAGTCATGAGGGACATTACCCTGAGAGTACATTTCCTGGTTGAGCGTTATTAGGTAATCCATGAGTTGGAGACTGCCGTGCTTGTAAATCTCAATTGGAATCGCGTCTGATTCGTGGACTTTCAAGCTGAAGATTTGCTGCACAGCCCTGATAGTTTCGTGTAGAAAGGGCGGGAGGTGGAGGTCGGCGTTGGTCTCCATTTGAGGCAGTCGGGCAATGACGGCGTCGTAGATGGTGAAGGGGCGTTTGAGGACACCTCTGAAGTCTTTGGCCCATCTCATCAGAATTCACGTCTTCTCAGTGAATAGGGTAGTTCCGTTGGAGCTGAGCAGAAGCGAGGTTCCTTTGGCCGTGAGACCGTAGATAGCCTTGACAGATGCGTAGAAGTTCTTCCATTCGTTGCAGTCCGCATGCCCTTGGACCTCCTCGGGCTTGCGAACCGTCCAAGCCTCCTGCATCTCCCACAGCCCCTGTTGCGCAAGGCGGCGATAACGATAGAAGGCTGATGCGTTCTCGTCAGTAGGGCGACTGACGTAGGCTTTGTTTAGGCGATGTTCCTCGGCGAGCAGATTGCAGACGGTGGGCGTCATTGTCGTCGAACCAGACCTGATGTTGGCGACGTGCGCCACCGAGGCATCTAGGGTGGTAGACTGCACCGTGTGCCACAGCTGGCACTATCAGCTGCCACAGAGGCGTTCTCGTCGGCGGCGTTTGCGGCGGCGGCGACGACGACTGTAAGGTTGGCTAGCCTTTGGGCCAGTTCATTGCTGAATTGGAGAAGGTGTGCAGCCAACGACAACAAACCGATATTCAACTCAGCAGGGAAACGCCTATCTTGAGGTCGCCTGTGAGTCTGTAGGCGAATCCTCACCTTGGAGGTGACGAGGCAACGGCCGGTCCACCTCTCGGCACCCGACATCGCCTTTGTCATCAGCACGTCCTACTGGTCTCGCCTCCGGACCAGGACATAGTCCAGCAGGTGCCACCGACGCGACTGAGGGTGCATCCACTTGGCCTCCTCCCGCATCGGGAGGCGGACATAAACGTTGGTCACCAGGAGGCGATATTCTGCGCAGGTTCGCAGGATAAGGAGACCATTGTCGTCGTAGACGGCGATTTCGTGAGGACCAAGCACTCCCCTCCACACAGCACAGTCTGTCTGGATGCTGGCATTGAAGTCACCAAGACCAAGCAACTTGTCGACCTTCGGCACAGGCGCAAAGAGAAGGCGTATATCTTCGTAGAACTTGACTTTCGCGTCATCAGGGCCGGCCAGTGGTCGAGTAAAGGCCTTGATGATAGTGGCGGATTTGGATCTGCGAAAAAATATACGTAGGCTCATCAGGCGGTAGTTGATGCCCTGCAGCAGACGGTGCAGTCCTACGATGTGGTTCCAGATGGCAAAGGCAACACTCGCGTCTTGTCGCTCTGCATTTGGGAGGCCGCTCCAGAAGAAGGTGTAGCCGGCACCCACCTCCTCTAGTTGACCTTGTTTGGAGAATCGGATCTCGCTGAGTGCAGCGGTGTCCACCTTGTAGCGCGTCAGTTCTCGAGCTACTAACACCTTCCTCCCTTCCGGTCAGTTGTTCCTTGGATTGTCTAGGAGGGGACGAACATTCCAGGCCGCTAGAGTGAGCTGACTCACCGTAGTGGCCTGTGGGGTGGAGCGGAGGGGAGGGAGAGGGAGGTTTTTGTCTCTTGTTTGATTGTTTTGATCGCATGTATTTCAGTCTGCGAGCTAAAGTCCGTGCGCAGATGTCGTGAGCCCAGGGTTTGTTTAGGACATCTCTTCCAGCCCCCGGTTCTGCGAGGGGGTAAACATTACTGTCCCACACAGGGCTGCTATGTCGTTCCAGACGTCTGCTGAACTCCACTGTGGGTCACAGATTGAGCTAGTGAGAGAACTACCCGATTGGCCTCTGCCGCCTACGTGGTTGTACGTCGCCCTCGTCGTAGGACTTTTCGACCGTGTGGGAAGAGAGTAGAGTTGGGGATGTGGAGGAGAATTTGGAAGGGGAAAAAACGAGGGGAGACATGGTGAGATAGAGAGAGAGTAGTAGTGGCAGGGGAAACAGCGTTACTGGGTCTGGGGACATACGACGCGGGATGTGCTCAGCCTCGTTGACCTCGCTGGTTGACCCGTTTACCGGAGTGCGGCCGTTAGGCGGATCCTAGCTTCGAAGAACCACGTGTGAGAGTTGCGTGCAAGTTAACGAACGCTATCCGAAGTCGACACCCTCAAGCAAGTAAGCGACCTACCGCGACGATTACATGGGCCCACAGCTGAACCCCCCACATCCCGCGAGGTGATGTTTCCCAGATGCACCCTTTTAGGGTCGGCCAGGAAGACACTGAGAATATTTGAACGGAACCTCATCAGATTCGTCGGGACTAAAACATTTTACCTGCGACCGACTGGTGCTTGCTGCAACTACGAGTGGTTCGACCACTCAGTGGGTCACACAGGATTCCAAAACACCCGTGTTTTCCAGTATTAATCTTCTTAAAGTCTCCAGGACTGAGAGTTTGTGTATGATTATGAAGAGAACTCAAAACGATCCTCCAATACTGTAAACATCTATAGAATTTTTTACCCCATTATTTCATCTTATAATCATGGAAGTATGCCTTTGGCTCGGTAGAGGACGGCTTGGAGATATAGAAGTGCAAAAGAAAACAGAGTTTAAAGTTACAATATTAAACGTATTTTACTTAATGAAGCGTCGAAAACGTTGGCTTTATTTTCCCTTCTCTGATAGAATCGGCCTCATGCTCATTAGGTTTTCATTTAGCTATAACATCTATGTTTGTCGAATACGTGAGTCAAATACCGAAGACGAACTGGAAGTTGCCCTCCCTAATCTTTATTATTCGAGAATTAAGCAGTCTTGTCTGTGATCCGTTCAATGTAGTTTCGTCCTCTTTATCTACTCTTTAGGAGATTGAACGGAATGATTCAGCAGCAACGACTCCACCACAAAACCAACCAGTTGTCGTTGCTCGTTCAGCACGACGCAGCGCATGTACGACAACCCTTCAGAGCCTCATTGACAGCATCATCCATCAGGTCCACCTAGAATATCGCTCTGATCTGTGCGAAAACCCAAAACTGGTCAGTATATGCGAGTACGCGGAACTAGTAAGAACAATGGCTAACTCGCTTCACTTGCCCTCATCAGCTTCAAAACTGCTGGTACTAATAGATGACCTGGATCTCCTCTACCCCTCTAGCCATGTGGAGTTGTTTCGCTGGATCCCGCACCAACTACCCCGTTCTAACGTGCGTTTCTTAATGAGCACCAGTAATGAAGCCATGGCCATTGCCTTCAAGGCTCGTTATGGCGAGGGATCGTGCATAAGCGTCGTCAAGGGACCCTCCTTCACAGCTTTAAAGTCAACAGTCCTCCCGTCGCCAATGAACCCAAAAGTTCAGTCGGCGGTCCAGGAGAACACTGCGCCTCTCTTTGTCCACTGCCTTCTAGACTTGAACGAAACTGCCCTAGAAGACGACATCGTTCCACACGATATTGCCACAGCCTTTAGGCGGAGACTCCGGCAACTGCAGGTGACATTTGAATCGTCAAGCAAGTGCCTTTCGGATCTTTTGAAAATAACAAAATTCCTTGCCTATTCGCGCACGGGTCTTGCCTTAGCGGAACTGTGTGATCTTCTTGAGCTAGAGAACCAAGACACTGCCACACCGATAGGAACCAAGCGAGACCGCATACCTGTAGGTCACGTGCTCAGATTGCTTTGCGACAGGAGTCTCGGTTTGGCTGACTACTTGGCGTGTATAAAAGACGATCAACGTATAGTATACAGCCTTTCATCGGAGCAGTATCGAGAAGGCGCTCAAAGCTTCTGGGAACCTGAAGCACCAAGGGAGCCAATAGAAACAGTCGAGAAGGCGACCGAAGAGCAGAGCTTGCCTAGCTCACAAATAATTCACACAACTCTTTTTAGGTACTGGACAGGCAGTCAAGTCCCTCGACAGAAATCACCTCTCGGTTATCGGGACGGTACACACGAATATGAATACTTTTGGGTTAACCAAACGAGAACTTCGACTAAATTTCCCAAGAGTCGAACTTCCGGTTTACAGTGCAAGTTCAACCTTCGAATGCTGACAGAAGTTCCCTTCCAACTGGTGAATTCCACCGCGGACATTGTCGAAATGCACTATGAACTTGCGTTCAGGTTCGATTTTATGTTTGGCTGCTTGGGCAAGGCGGGTCATATGAACGACCTCATTAGTGGGCTATACTTTCTCCGACAACTACCTCAGTTACAAACCAACAGTGAGTTCGATTTGCTTCTCCACCTTTTGCGTGGACTTTCGCAGAAACTAACACTCGAGCCAAGGCTTTTGAGCGTCGAAATCGTCGGAAGAATTGGGCATCTGGCAGGCTCGAGATTTACGAATATGGGTCAGACACTGTTATCCAGCATCGATAATCAGGCCAACAGAATAAACTGTTTACAGGCGCTGCTACCAACAATGTACAGTCCTCTGATGCAACCCGAATTGACCAGAGTAGTTGTTGACGGCGAACAAGACGTCTTTTTGTCAACAATATCCCCAGATAATAGGTTTTTGGTCACAATTGTGTCCGGGTCGTCTGATGAGGACGACGAGCAAGTAGCCGGAGACCGTGTGAATGGGGAAAACAGGCTTAACACCGACGCGCCAGATGCTCGCAATCAGTCGGTTGTTATCTGGGACGTGAGGAATATTACAAAAGTGCAAATATTTTCAATCGGAAAATGGCCCACATACACGTTTCGAGAACTACTTTACCCACCTGGTCAAGAAGAGTACATCCTTCTAAAGTACACACAGACTGATGAGAATGGGAAGAAGCTCTTTGGCCTGATTGTCATAAACATAAATCAAGAACTTGTCGAGAACATCTATGTGGCCCCGGAGGGGACAGAGGTGCAAATAGTCAGTACCACAAAGTCAAAAATCATGCTAGTCGCTGAAGAGTTAAAGGAAGAGGGAAAAATATTCATCAAAGTCTTGAGTCTCCCAGATTTCAACGTAGTTTCGCAGCATCTTAAAAGAGTCCCGGCACCTTGTCTGATTGTAAACGCAGAACGCTATATCATCGGTCCCAGCTCATGGGTCAGTGAAAATTATAAGAAGGCGGACGCTAACCAGCTGCCGCCAAATTGTCTCCAAATACGACCAATCAGTTCGCCGCGGGAGCCGGTGTGTAGATTGGACTGTCCAGGGATCCCGCAGTGTCTTGCCTCAGGACCGAAGGGTGATACCGTGTTCGTTGGGATGCAAAGCAAGGGCAGTGTCTGCCGATTCGATTTGAATCAGGTAAACACTGCTTTGTACATTCTCACGCGTGTCTATCAAAGCCTACTGCTTTTCATGTTTAGCCGAATTTAGTAAAAAAAACTTCATTGGAGAAGTAAATAAATGGCTACCCTGTCTATCGGCAAAAAGTCGTCAAAACAGGCGTTCAAGTATCAACTTAGTCATTCCTCAACGCCAAAAATCCTCTGACCAAATTATAGGAAAATTGACGGCCTCGATGTGATTCGAATCAACAACAGCAAGGGCGAGGCTTCAGTCAAATCAACACTCTAACCACCTAAGTTAAGAGGCCCCACCGGGAGTCGTGAGTTTAATCACACTGAGGTTTGTGGGTCACATAATTTATTCAAAAACGATGAGGTATGACCATGATGCACGTAAGTCAATAAATCCTAGTGTGGTGGACAAAAGAAAAGGTTTATTAGTATATGAGAAGTGAGATAGGTTAACCAAAACCCTGAAAGGGATGCCCTGAAAGTATAGGGGGGCGCGCACCAATCGGGTTATAGTACTCACTCGTCCCGTTCTGCCTCGGGGCTCTTTCTCTCTCTCATACCCTGCCAGCAGCCGCACAGCGGCTGGTAATATAGGCAGAATGTCATTACTGGCAAAGACACGAAAGACTGAAATGGCAATTTCTGGCCTGTCAGATGTCATCAGCCCATATTAAGCGCAGCTATGCGGCTGCCGGTGGGGCTCGGGAGAGAGCCCTAAGTCACAACAGGACGACTGAGTTCCGTAATGCGATCGGTGAGCGCCCCTCTACCATCGTTAGTATATCCGATTGCAACCGACAGGACAAAGGACCAGTGGCTCAATGGCTAGGGCTTGTGGCTTCTAACCAACAGGTCGCGAGTTCAAGCCTCGGAGGTTGCATACCGTGGGGTTGGGTATGGCCTGGCTGATGACGGTTAACAAGTCAGAAATGGCTACTCCAGTCTCTCATGTCTTTACCAAAAATGTCATTCTGCCTAGATATCTTGAAATCTCCCCATATAGGGCGTGAATTTATAAAAAAAATGCCCTGCTGCACGGCTGACAGCTTCCAAAACACATCCCTAGGAAAATGTCTGGAGAGCCGAGAATCACATTAAGCCTAGCATCTTAAGGATTACCCGCTTATGCTTGAAGCAAAGAAAATGCCTTCGTACCATTTGGAACATCCATGACCGCATAAAAATCATGCGTCCCAGCCAAAATCAAAGTACTGGAAAGTTGTAAAGTCAAAATACAATATCTAAAGGTCTAGGCGACAAACTACGCACCGCGTGTTAGTCGTGTGCCGAGAAAGGAATCCGGTAACTCATTAATTTTTCCACGTAAAAACTCGATACCCAACTTGATGGATTGATACTTCTTGTGCAGCGCATAATGGGAGGCTTTTCACGACTAAGAAAACCATCGTCCGAATTAACCAAAGAATGTGAAGTCTCCGACATTACTAACATATTTTTATTTCGTCCGTCAGGGTCTTCATGAGAGTTCGGTGGCTTAGATAAGTACATTGTCAAATTTTCTGCTGTTGCAGGATGTAAGTGCGAGAAGTCTGACACCCCAGTGGGATGTTCAGTGTCTTCTAGTTCTCTTCAAATACTACTTCTAGATAAGCGATTTCTTAAATTACCAACGAAACGACTCGTGATTAAGTGATTGGCGGGACCTTACGAAGTTACGACTTTCCTCCTAAAGAAGATTTGAGCTCTAGAC